CAAGGGACACTTCCCTGAAGACTCGAAAAGAGAAATGGCGGGGGGGGGGGGGGGTTGGGGGGGAATTTGGCCCCGAGGCCCCCCCGGGCTCACCCCCCTCATCACATGGTCATTTAACGCGTGCTTAACTGTCCTTTCACAAAGACCCGCCTCCCACACTGCACTGCGGTTCCACGGGGCAGGGACTGTGTCTGGTGTGACCATGGCTCAGTGACCCCCATGGGAACGTGTCAGTGACAGTATCTATTTTTAGCCCTTGGAGGGGGGGCACTGGTCTCCCCTCCTATTTGGCACCTGCCAATCAACTTGGTTTACATGAAGGAGTCCAACTTTGTCACATCAATACCCTCTCTCCCAGAAAAGGCCCTTGGACTCACTATACACAACCTGACAGTTTCCCCAAGGATAGGCTTTAGTAGCTGGAGAATGAGTTGGATTTTGGCTCCAGTCATGGGGGGTGCAGGCCAAAGGTCCATTGCAAGTTTGGGGGTTCTGTCCAGGCCTGGCTAAAAGCTCCATTGTATCGACGCCAAAGCCCAGGGATTCAACTAAACACGCATTCAGGCCCTAGCCGGTTTGGCTCACTGGATAGAGCGTCGGCCTGGGGACTGAAGGGTCCCAGGTTCGATTCCGGTCAAGGGCATGTACCTTGGTTGCAGGCACATCCCCAGTAGGGAGTGTGCAGGAGGCAGCTGATGGATGTTTCTCTCTCATCGATGTTTTTAACTCTCTATCCCTCTCCCTTCCTCTCTGTCAAAAAATCAATAAAATTGCAACAGCATGGATGGAACTGGAGAGCATTATGCTAAGTGAAATAAGCCAGTCAATGAAGGAAAAATACCACATGATCTCACTCATTTATGGATAATAAAGACCATTATAAACTTATGAACAAAAATAGATACAGAGGCAGAGCAGCCTCGAACAGACTGTCAAACTACAGCGGGAAGGCCGGGGAGGGTTGGGGGGCAGGAGGGGAGGGTAAGAGATCAGCGGAAGGACTTGTATGCATGCCTATAAGCATAACCAATGGACATAAGACACTGGGGGGTAGGGGAGGCCAGGGGATTGTCAAGGGCGGGAAAAAAAGGAGACATATGTAATACTCTTTGTAATACTTTAAGCAATAAAACAATTTTAAAAAATCAATAAAATATATATTTTAAAAAAAAAACACACGCATTCAGTCAGTGCCTCTGTCATCAAGCAGGTTGCTCTGTCCCTGGCCTGGCATGGCTGGTGCCTCACAAACATATGTATTGGGTGAAGGAAGGAAGAAGGGGAGGGTGGGCCTTTCAGAGGCTGGCACTGGCTGGGTGAGGGGGCCTGGGAACAGGCCTGGGGTGCCCCTCAAAGGCCCTGGAGGTTATGTATGAGTTGGGGGAAGTCAGAGGCCTGGTGGGGAAGGCCTGTGTGGGCTTCGGGGTGACAAGATGGGGTCTCCTCACACTGTGTGTGTGTGTGTGTGTGTGTGTGTGCGTACATACTCATGTCTAGGGAGTGATTCTCAGCCTGTGTGTGTTGTAGTAAATTCTCTTCATGTTTTGTCTCAGAGTATTCACACACACGTGTGATGAGTGATGTTCATGTTCTATGTGTACATGTGAATGTCTGTGCTTCATGGAAGATTCTCCTCACATGCCATGGACACACACACAGACAGGTATGTTTTGTGGGCAGCGCTCACGTGTTGTGTGTGAACATGTGTGTTCGACGGAAGATTCTCCACATGGTCTGTGTGTATGTGAACATGTGGGTTTGGTCAGCAGCTCTGCTCCTGTTGTGTGCGTGTGTATGAACACGTGACATGGATGACTGGGTCCTTTCATGCTCTGCAGGTGACAGCACACGTGTGCATGCAGTTGTCACAGGGGTGTCTCGGGGAGGGGGCCCCCACTCACGCTCTTGCCCACGTCATCCTTGCTGCTCAGCAGTGCCTCCAGCTCCGCCCGGAGGGCCCGGTTCTGCCGCTCCAGCTCCTCACGCGCTTCCTGCTCCTCCTCCAGCGCCCGAGTCAGCGACAGGGTCCGGGCCTCACGCTCCCGGCCCTCGGCCTCCACCCGCTCACGCTCCTCCACCGCCCGCAGCACAGCGGCCTTCTCCTCTGCCAGGAGCTTGGGGGTTGCGGGAGACAGGGTGGGGGAAATAGATTAGCTGAAAGGAGAGTACAAGGGGGTAGGGAATAGGGAGCAGCCAGGGACAGAGACAGACAGACAGGCAGGCAGACAGGCAGAGGCAGAGACACAAGAGGGAGGTAGAGGGATTAAGATCGAAAACTAGCTCCGCTCTTCAATGGGTCAAACTCATCAGCTGCTCACTGTGGACAATGAACAGAGGAAAGGGCTTCTTCCTTTTGGGGAAGTGATAGAAGAAAACATATACCTATATTTAAAAAATGTACTTGAACCTTTACTGTTTTCTTTCCAGGCACAGTGATTTAAAACAATAACATTTACAATAGAGGCAAAGGAAGAGGGTGGACTCAGTCAAGAGAAAAATCAGTCCATGAAAATAGATCCACAGATGACCTTGACATCATCACACAAGGGCTATGATAAGTAAGTTTCAGGACAAGACGAATACAATGGATAAAGAGATGGTTATTTCTGGAGGGATTAGAAATGGTGAAACAGAACCAATCAGAACTAAAAACTATAATTTCCAAACTCAAAATGTCCATGGGAGAAACTGAGGGAAGACTAGACATAGAAGAATTAGTACATGTGAAAACAGGTCAATAGAAATGATCCAAATAGAGTGAAGAAAAAAAAAAAAAACAAGTGTAAAAAAATTAACGGTCCTAGCTGGTTGGTTAGAGCGTCAGCTTGTAGACTGAAGGGTCCTGGGTTCAATTCCAGTCAAGGGCATATGCCAGGGTTGTGGACTCGATCCCCAGGAAGGGGCCTGCAGGAGGCAGCCAGTCAATGATTCTTTCTCATCATTGATGTTTCCATCTCTCCTTCTCCCTTCCTCTCTGAAATCAATAAAAATATATATTTAAAAAAAATTAACAGAGCTTTAATAATCCACAAGACAGCACCAGGCAGTCAAACATACATGTGTTTGGAACTGGAAGAAACCCAATGGGATCTAGAAAAAAATCTACCAGTCCTAATAAGTGAGGTTAGCTAGATTGTAGGAAACAATATCAAAATATACAAAAATTGATTGTATTTCTATAACCTAGCAGTCAGAAATTGAAACAAAAACAATACCACTAAAATAGCATCATAAATATAAAATGCTTAGAAATAAAATCTGAAAAAAGATGTGAAAGATATACACTGAAAATTACAAAACATTCCTGAGCTAAATTAAAAATCTAAGCCCCCATCCCCACTCCCCCCAAAAGAAGATCTAACCCGGCTAGCGTGGCTCAGTGGTTGAGCATTGACCTGGGAATCAGGAGGTCATGGTTCCATTCCCGGTTGGGGCCCAGCTAGGGCATATGCCCAGGTTGCAGGCTTGATCCCCAGTAGGGGACCTGCAGGAGGCATCTGGTCAATGATTCTCTCTCATCATTGATGTTTCTATCCCTCTCCTTCTCCCTTCCTCTCTAAAATCAATAACAAATATATTAAAAAAATAGAGATCTAAATAGATGGATCATGTTCCCGGGCTGGAAAACTCAATATTATTAAGATGTCAGTTCTTTCCAAATTAACTTAGAGATTCAACACAATCTCAAATCAGGAGGATTTTTATGGTGCAGAAACTGACAAACTGATTCTGAAATACATATGAAAATGCCTAGGACCTAGAAGAGGTAGATACTGCCAAACGGCTAAATACCAACGATAAAGAGAACAAACTGAAACCAGCTAGAAAAACATATCACGTGACCCTCAGGGAAACCATGATTTCAATGTCTGCTAACTTTTCATTTGAGACGATGGAAGCCAGAGATCATGGAATGATCTCTCCCAAGTGCTGAAAGAATAAAATTATTTACCTAGAATCTATCCAGCGAAAATAGCTTTCAAAAGTGAAGGCACAATAATGATGCCTCCATTTTCTAGTTGAAAAAAAACCCACCAGGCTCAGAGAGGGTGGAGCAGTTTGCCCAGCCACACAGCCTGGAAGGGACTGAGCTGAGACCCAAAACTCCAGGCTGGCTGATCTTAATGCGCTGGGGTTGTGTGATCTTTGTTTCACCTTCAGATCGCCCGATGCTTGTTACTAACCCCATTTCCTAGATGGGCACACTGAGGCTGAAACGGGGAAAGCCGCTGGCCCAAGGCACACGGAGAGGCGGCAGGAGCAGTGAGATGTATTTCATTTAATCCTCGCCAGCACCCTTTGGTGCACCTTCAGGACATGTTTGGGAGGAAAAAGGGGGGCTACCAATGGGTGTCTTATTTTATAGACTCAGAGGGAAGAAGCGTCTTGCCCTAGGATTCCCCCCCCCCCAAGTTCACAGTGGAGCTGTGACATCACACATTCCTCATTGCCCACAGTGACCCTGGGAGGCAGGATTAGCATCCTGATGGCCCAGCAGAGTAACAGGTTATGGGGTACCGAGGGGGCCCACCTGGTCGAATTTGCGCTGCTTCTTCTCCAGCGTGCTCACGAGCTGCCGCTGCTGCTCCAGGTCCATGGTGGCGTCGTCCAGCTCCTGCTGCAGCCGCCGGCGGCCCCGCTCCAGCCGCTCCACCGCCTCCGTCTTTTCTGTCAGGCGCTGCATCAGGGCCTCCGCCTCGCGGGCAGCCCGGCGCCGAGCCTCCTCGCCTGCCTCCAGTGCCCCTGCCTCCTCCTCCTGGCGCCGCCGCCACTCTGAGAGCTGGTGGGGGGGGGGAGTGGGGAGGAGAGAGGGTGGGTGGCAGTCATGGCTGTGACCGAGGTGTGAGCTGGTAGCGCCCCAGTTCCCAGATGAGGAGACTGAGGCCTGAAGAGGGAAATGGCTCACTGCACTGGAGGAGGGTTGAGGCTGTGAGTTCTACGACCCTCAGCTTTCCCAGGAGATTAAAACTATTCCCTCTGGGACCAAGACGGTGAGTCAGACACGGGCTCTGCTCTGGGGAACCCCCAGTCTGATGGAGAGAACTGAGTGTCGCAGCCAGGGTGATGGAGGCTAAGGTATGGGAGCCAGGGGAGTCCTCAGGAGGGGCTCAGCATCTGTTTAGAACATTTAAGGGAGACTTCCTGGAGGAGGGGGCATTTGCAATGGATCTTAGACTATACACAGGAGTTTGCCAGTTGAAGGAGGACATTTGCAGGCATGCACTCCATGCTCACTCATTCAGCAGGCATTGCTCAAGGCCTCCCATAAACCGGGCTCTCTGTTGGCCCACCTTGGGGACCAGATCGAACTCAGGGTCCCCTTTAAAGGAGCTCCCCATTTGGTGGTGGGGGGACTCATGGGCAGAGAGTGTTCCAGCCCAGGGTGACTGGCGTGGGAACGGGGAGAAAGAAGGGTTGTGGGAGCTCAGAGGAGGGCGGCCAGGGCCTTCCCACAATAGGGGGCGCTGACGCTGAGTCCTGAAGAATAAAACGGGTTTCCCAAGTGAAGTGGGGAAGGAGAGGAGAGAGGAATGCAGCCAAAGACAAAGGGGAGGACCAGAGACCGCAGGGCGTCCGACGCCTGGCTGAGAGGCATGCGCTTTGTCCAGGGGAGCCGGGAGCCATGGCCGGGCTGTGAGCAAGGGGAGGGCAGGGCCAGCTCTGGGGCAGGAAGACCGTGTGGAGAATGAGCCGGAAGAGAGAGGAGAGACTGGAGGCAGAGGGGCATTGAAGGGAGGCTGAGAGGAGGATCCGGGGGCAGAGGACGAGGCCTCAGCGGGCTGGGGCGGTGTAGACGGAAAGTGGGCGATAAGACAGAAGTCAGGGCTCTGCACTGACAGGTCGTGGGGCTGAGTGACAGTCAGAGGCGGGATTGGCACCCAGAAGTCTGGGCTCTGACTGGTCGGATAACGGGGCGTCTCTGAGCCAGGGAACCAGCAGGAGCAGGTGGGGGGACCAAGTGTCCCCTGGCCTCCCCCCAGGACTTCTCACCTGGACCTGGGCGGTCTGCAGCTCACGGCCGGCCCGCTCCCTGGCCGTCGCCTCCTCCTCCAGCTGCTCCCGTAGCCCGGCCACGTCGGCCTCCAAGGCTCGCACCCGGGACCCCAAGGCCAGCTTTGCCCTGGTCTCCTCCTGCAGTAGCTCCTGTAGATGGGGGGTGGGGGGGGGGGAAGAATGGAGGTCAGGTGTGGGCAGAAAGGTGGGAGGGGCTGGGTACAAGGGCGGGGGCGGGGGGAGAGGTCACCTGGGCATCGTGCAGCTGGGCCTCTGTGCTGCTCAGCTCCTTCCTCAGCCTGATGGCTCTGGACTCGGCCTCACTCAGTGCCCCAGACACGTTCTCGAGTTCAGTCTGTGGGAAAGGGGCACCTTCCAATGGCGGCTTCCACCCAGCCGACCCCAGCGGCTCCTCCACCTCCAATCCCTACCACACGGCTGGTGGGAATGTGAATGGCACAGCCACTGTGGAAAACAGTCTGGCAGTTCCTCAAACGGTGAAACACAGAGTCTCCCTATTGCCTAGCAATTCCGCTCCGAGGGGTGGACCCAAGAGAAATGAAAACATATGTCCAAGCAAACACATGTACAGGGACATTCATAGCAGCATTAGTCACAACATCACAATAGAGAAAGGTAGAAACAACTCAAATATTCATCAGCTGGTGAGTGGATAAACAGAATGTGCCCAGGAACTATTCTAAGGGCTTTATAATTTTTGGCTCACTGGATTCACACACCAACCCTCAGAGGCAGATGCCACTACTATTCCTGGTTTACATAAAGGAAAGCTGAGGCACAGAGAGGTCAGGAAAGGTGCCGGGGAGCACACAGCTACAGCTGGGGGAACTGAGATTTGAGCCCAGGAAGAATGGCTCTGGAGCTGAGCTGTCCGAGATGGCAGCCACCAGCCAGATGCAGCCATTTACACTAAAATAAAATAAAAGCAAAATCCAGCTCCTCGCTTGTACCTGGCCACATTTCAAGGGCTCACCAGCCAAGGGGATAGCACAAATACAGAAAATCCCCAACACTGAAGAAACTTCCGGATAGAACTTGTGCTCTCAGCCACCAAACTGGACTCTTGGTGCCACTTTTACTCTTGCAATATGCCCAGTGCTTGGCACAGTGGTGGCTGCATAGCATGGTTCCGTTTGGGATAGACCCTCGTGGTCCCCCCAGATCCATTCTCCCTTGGTCCCACTGTGACCGGCTATTAACCAGGCCCATGACTCTCAGCTAGAAACTACATTTCCCAGCCTCCCCTTGCAGTGAGCTGTGGTCATGTGATTATGGTATGGCCAATGACATGCAAGCAAGTGATGTATGCAAATTCTGTCCCTTCCTAAGCTGGAGCACAGATGTGCCCACAACACAGATTCCACTCTGAAGACCAGGTCAACGCTTCGGGGACTAGACCGGGCTCTTGAGTGACCTCATGGAGCCTAGGGTCCTGCCAGCCTCAAATGCTTACCTTGAGCCTTTTTCTTTTTTAAATATTTTTATTGATTTCAGAGAGGAAGAAAGAGGGAGAGATAGAAACATCAGTGATGAGAGAGAATCATTGATTGGCTGCCTCCTGCACGCCCCCTACTGGGGATCGAGCCCGCAACCCGGGCATGTGCCCTTGACTGGAATCAAACCTGGGACCCTTTCAGTCCGCAGGCTGACACTCTATCCACTAAGCTAAACCAGCTAGGGTTTGAGCCTGTTTCTTGAGAGGGAAAGACGTGTATTTTATTCAAGCTGATGATTTCTGGGGTCTCTTTGTTATAGCAGCCTAACCTTTACTCTAATGAATACACACTTTTCACCTGGAAATTAAGAAGTGTAACGGTGGGGTGTTTTCCCCTGGGGGGGGCGGGTTGGGGAATTAAGGTCAGTCTTCCCTCTGTTCTTTTTGCTGTTTGTGTCCTCAATAACGAACAGGTATTGGTCATTTAGTTAAAAAGCCCAGAATCCACTGCTTGCCTCGTAGTTACACGGATATTGTCCTCACACGGTTCCAGGCATTCACTGTGGCCTCTTCTAATCAGACCACGGATCATTTAAGGCCCAAAGAGAAGAGTGGAGGCTGGGCTGTGGCAGGGTTAAGAGCTACAGGGTCAGGCAGGCCTGGGTTCGAGTTCCGGCTCTGAATGACTTTAGACCAGCGGTTCTCAACCTGTGGGTCGCGACCCCTTTGGCGGTCGAACGACCCTTTCACGGGGGTCGCCTAAGACCATCCTGCATATCAGATATTTACATGACGATTCATAACAGTAGCAACATTACAGTGATGAAGCAGCAACAGAAATAATTTTATGGTTGGGTCACAACATGAGGAACTGTATTTAAAGGGCCAGAAGGTTGAGAACCACTGCTTTAGACTATCAACCTCCCCTCCCTGGGCCTCAGTTTCCTCGTATGTAAAGTGGGAACAGGATTAGCACTGCCACCAAAGAGGAGTCGGGAGGATACCGTGAAATACACAGGATGTTTGGTTACGTAGTAACCTCTCTCCAAATACTAGCCATCCATGCGTGATGATGTTGGAAAAGTTGGAAGGGATGGACAACAGGGCCGACGTGGACCAAACAGAAGCCCAGAGAGAGGCGGTCTCACTCAAGGTCACAGAGCAGAGACCACCGCGGCCCCGCTCACCTGGGCTCGCTGCAGCTTCTCCGCAGCCTCTGCGCGTGCCCGCTCCCCGTCGCCGGCCCGGCCCTGCACCTCCTGTAGCTGTGACTCCAGGCGGCGCCTCCGCTGCTCGCCCTCCTGCCGCGAGGCCTGCAGGTTACTCAGCTCTGCCCGTAGCTCAGACACCTCGGTCTCCAGAGCCAGTCGGGTCTTGTCCCAGACACCTTTGCCCTGGCAGGGGAAGAGAAACAAGCAAAGGTTTAAGGTTCCCCCACCAACCAGGCCGGGCACATGCCTGCCTCAGGGCCTTTGCACTGGCTCTTCCCTCTACCTGGAACTCACTTCCCTCTGATGCCGGGATGGCTCAACTCACCTCCCTCAGTTTTAAAAAATATATATTTTTATTGATTTCAGAGAGGAAGGGAAAAGGAGAGAGAGATGGAAACATCAATGATGAGTGCAGCTGGCGTGCCTCAGTGGTTGAGCATCGACCTATGAACAAGGAGGTCACAGTTCGATTCCCGGTCAGGGCACATGCCCAGGTTGTGGGCTTGATCCCCAGTGTGGGGTGTGCAGGAGGCA